AAGGGATCAGCTTATGTCAGGGGTGGGCAACTTTGGCACTCCAGCTATGCTGAAACTACAATTGCCTTGGCCTCTGGGAGTCATGCCTGTGGCTGTCAATCTTGCAATGCCTCACGTGGCTTGTAGTTTCACAGCTGCTTGAATGCCGAGGTTGACTCTCCCTTTCCTATGTAATGGGCAAATATAGCTGCTCTTGCATATATACACTCAACGGCCACTTTATTAGGTACACCTTGCTAGTACCGGTTGGACCCCCTTTTGCCTTCAGAACTGCCTTCATTCTTCGTGGCATAGATAGAAGGTGTTGGAAACATTCCTCAGAGATTTTGGTCCATATTGACATGATAACATCACGGGCCCAAAGTGTGCCATTAAATTTTTCCCACACACCATTACACCACCACCGTCAGCCTGAACCGTTGATACAAGGCAGGATGGATCCATGCTTTTATGTTTTTTACGCCAAATTCTGACCCGACCATCTGAATGTTGCAGCTGAAATCGAGACTCATCAGTTCAGGCAACGTTTTTCCAGTCTTCTATTGTCCAATTTTGGTGAGCCTGTGCAAATTGTAGCATCCGTTTCCTGTTCTTACCCAGTGGCGTAACCAGAGTACGCCCATTCTTCTCTGACATCAATAAGGCATTTGCGTCCACACAACTGCCGCTCACTGGATATTTTCTCTTCTTTGGACCATTCTCCTGAGAGAAGGTTGTGCTGAAAATCCCAGTATATCAGCAGTTTGTGAAATACTCAGACCACCCCATCTGGCACCAACAACCATGCCACGTTCAAAGTCACTTAAATCCCCTTTCTTCCCCATTCTGATGCACGGTTTGAACTTCAGCAAGTCCTCTTCACCATGTCTAGATGCCTAAATGCATTCAGTTGCTGCCATGTGATTGGCTGATTAGCAATTTGTGTTACCAAGTAATTGAACAGGTGTACCTAATAAAGTGGCCGGTGAGTGTATATATATTTCCTGCCAAATCTTAAAAAAACACATATTATTAGATTTGTTAAGATGACCACATTTACGCAGCAATTAAAAAAATGATTGTTTCTCTTTTTAAAACAAGATCCCAAATTTTAGTTGGACTGGAATTCTCCTTTAACTGTAGAATAATTACATCACCAAAGACAACATGGATGCTGTTACTGTGTGGCTAGGTGACAGGTCCTCTCCTTTCTCTGCTGCACTGTGAAGAAATCATATTAAATGGTTAGGGTTGCTTCTTAAGCCACAGACACACATTTGTAACGCATGCAGATCCCTTGTTAATAATTGATTGGCGCACTGGCTTGAAATGAGATTTTACCTGTGCTTGATTAAACAAGATTAAGGTAAGCTGTGGTTTTGCTCAGGAAAACATTTCTGACTGATCTCTCGACGCAGCGCATTAATATACCTTCCATTAGCCGAACCTTTGGGACTTTTTTTCCAACTCCTAGTGAGAGGCTTTGGTGGTGTTAGGGTCACCATGGAAACTGTTGCCAGGGAATACAAGCTGCCATCACCTTGGAAACTGCAATGTAACGCAGGTGGCTGTGCTGTTTCTGGAAAACTTGGCATGAAGTAAAAGATAGAAAAAAAAGAACCATATTTTGTTTTTATTTTTAAAAAAAGTGGGGAAGGGTTTAACCTTTTTTTTAAATTGCTTTCTGTGACCCTGTAAAGCAGGGGTGCACTACTCCGGCCCTCCAGCTGTGCTTTGACTACACATGCCTGGGAGTCATGTCTGATGGGTGTTTTAAACCCCTTTCTGTGGAATATCTGTGCATTGTTCCTGTCTCTGTCCCCCACTAAGGATTTCCAATCACTTCCTGTTCCTGTGACAGGCAACACAGGAAGTGAGGGGACATCTCTCCACTGAGAAGGCAAAGCACATTTAGGACCTATTCACATTGTCTGTACAGGCTGTGTATGGGTGGAGGTGCTTTGCGTGGTCTCCGTGCATCACACTGTTTTTTTTTTCTAAACTTTAATAAGTGTCACAAAATTACACCATTCAAGTTAATTCACCGTAGCTAAGCTGCATTGCTGTGATTGATGGTGCATTGCGGGAAAATGCAGCACATATGCATTGTTTTTTTCAATGCTGCAACTCACCTCAAGTCAGCATTCCAGTGTGAACGGAGCACATAGACAACTGCTGTTTGCAGTGTGCCCCGGTGATGACCTGCGTTGATTGCAGGAGCTTCACTGAACGCTTCAGCTGCGCAGTCCTAAGCAAAATGGTAGTGGATGATATTTTTGACTAATAAATGCCATTTTCCAATGAATATTTGCTGTGCTCCTCCACCAAAACATGAAATTCCTCCATCGGGGTTCAAGCACCTTTCTCCAGCGCTGCCAGGTGTGCCCACAGTTAAAATGGCCACTGGTGCTCTGTCCCCACCTTCTGCGGCACACTCAGCACTCTGCATCCACATACACTTCCGCTGCGAGTGCTAAGTTAGCAGCACAGCATTCAACGGCGGTTTGCTAACTCAGCACTCGCAGCGGCTGAGCAATTAATCACGCCTCTGGTCATTGCACGTAGTGTGATTGGGTCCTAAGGGCTGAAACACACTTTTGCGCTTTAATGGGTCGTGGTAATACATGCATTAAGGAACACATTAATGCAACACACATTCATGCACTTTATCACTTTGTTGCGCCGTTCATTTTGAATGGCATACCAATACACTAAGGAAGTGCAGCTTTGATGTACATGTGTTGCAACGCAGCAAAGCGCACGGTAATACACTACTGTGCATTGTGTTGAAAAAAATGCTACTTGTTTGTTTTTTTGGTCTGAACCTGTGCATTGCCAACCCATTGAAAATGTATAGGATGCCATAATGATATGCACGTTAACTCGTGGCACAATGCGTAATGATGCAACACACAGGAACAGACCAGTGTGAATGGCCCCCAAACTTTTGACCTGTTCTAAACCTACCCCACTCCATCCAATCTACAAAAAGGAAGATTTTGCCTGCGCTACCATGTTCATGTATGTAACCTGATCAGTCAGTGTTATGGTGCATTCCTACTGGCAATTGATGGAGGAGGTTGACCTTCCGCATGGGACTGCAGATGACATTCTTATCTTACAATATGCTAAAATTATTGAATAAATAAACATGGCAACCAGATATTGGCAAATAATGGCCGCGGCCAATTTTATTGGTATAATATATATATATATCTCCAAAATTCTTTAAATTAACTTTATTAACCAACATAACATAAACCAACAAGTAATACTTCACAACCAAATCTTTGCCCAGTCATTACAACGCGGGCAAATCCACTTTGCTTGACTGTAACTTAGTCCCCCTCATAACTTTTTTGAGGTGACAGACCACCATTGCTGAGCTGTGTTGCTGACAACTGGTGTCTAATCCTCTGAGGTAACCTCCTTATATAGGGTTACCCTGGGCTGCAGAAGCTTCTAGAATCTCCTCAAGGCAAATCTTCCCACCCCTAAAATTCCTGCTCTTTTTCCAATTTAATTTCTTAAAGGGCCAGTACCTAAAATTAAATTACTACACAAAAATACACAATAGATTATAAGTCGCCGCAGACCCATGCAGGTGGGCCTTTTAGAATATGCCCCCCATTTACATTCTGTTTTAGCTTATGTCAGGTTATGTTTTTGCACTTTCCCAATTAAGTGATTGGCTAATGCTGGCCATGCAAGGCTTGAAATTCTCTTTCTGCTATATCGGCTAAAATTTTAACCATGGGCGGCCCTGTCATCACCAGTCAACTTGTCAAACTTGGTTTGAGAAAATCTAAGGAGATGGGCAGTAATTGTCAGCCAAACAGTGACTGCATCCAATAAAGTTGCAATCAAAAATATTCAACCCACATTGCAAATCAGGTTTATTGTCAAAATTTACAAACTTTCAGTTGTTTGCAATGAACAAATCAAATAAAAACAGTTGACATAGGTCAACACAATGAATGTTTTAAGTGGTTTCCCCAAATTCAACTGAAAATGCAACTTTTAATAACTTCTGCAGTCTTAAAATTATTTAACCCCTTCACAGCAAGCATCTTCAGTACTTAGTACTTACACCCTTTTGTTGTTATGACCTGCTGCAAATGAGATGCATAGCCAGACTTGCACTTCTGGCAGTGTTCCTGAGGAATATTAGCCCATTCCTCATGAGAAATTGCCTGCAGTTCACTAATATTCTTGGGTTTGTCTGCTGCAACCACCTTCTTCAAATCCCACCAGAGATTTTCTATGGGGTTCCAGTCAGGTGACTGTGATGGTCACTATAGAATCTTCCAGGACTACTTCTGCAATTGCTGGTATTTTTTAGGAATATTTTGGATCATTGCCCTGTAGGAAGGTCCAATGACATCCAAGCTTCAGCTTCAAATGTCATGATGTTTTTTTCTAGGATTTCCTGACACTTCAGGGAATCCATCTTGCCTTCCACATGCTGCAGATTTCCAGTGATTGGTCTGCTG